AGAGATTAATTTAGTCCTTTTTTTTTCTGTTCATAGTTCTTACAAGAAGCATTGCATCAAGTTTCTTAAGTGCAGGAATGTTGCAGAGAAGATCTGTTCTCTGTCTTGTTGTCATGACTTCCATTGAAGATCCATCTTTGTTTGTTTGTTGCGTTGGAGCGAATTCAACTATGTGATCCGCCACAGAGATAAGCCATCCAAGTTCTCTTCTCCACCGCGCTTTTCTATCAGCCGGCATTGGTTCTAAACGCCTCTGTTCTCCAAAGGCAGATGCTGCGAGATTGGTAATTGCATTAGATAAAGCCAAAGCCGAAGAAACGCCCTTTCCTCCTCCAGACATATCTTCTCCAAGAAGCAGTTTTGAAAACCTTTCTTTCATTTGCTCCATGGCTGTAATAACATTAACAGAAGTTTTGATTAATTTACCCTAACTTACATTACAAGAAACCTAAAATATATCAATGAACTAATTAGAATTTTGCCTGCTTGTAATTGCGCCTCCATGGATTCACATGAAACCATCCTCGGAGTACCAATCTTGTCGCTGCGGTTGGGCGTTGCGTCACCGCTTAAAGGCAAAGGCGGCCGGTCAACGCTGCCAAAATTCCCGGGTTGACTTCTGAACATCATCCTGTCATTATCATCATCATCAAAACTGTCCGAACCATCCATTTTCAAGGCGCAATCTGAGCTCCAGCTTTTAACATGTCTTGAAGCTGAGTGTTCGCTCATGTTCTTGAAATGATACAATCTTGATTTGTAATTCTCTTGTTCTTGCTCCATTGCTTTTACAATTCCTAATGAAAATAATAATTAAAAAACGATAAGAATTCTGTATGTTGAATTTCTTTTTAATCTCTATGTTTCTTAATTCTGTAATAAAGAGGACATTTAGGAGATTTTGAAGAAAGAAAAACAGCAAACTTAATTAACCAAAAAAAGTGTTTGATTTTTCAGACTTAGCAATTACAGAACACCATTGTTTTGACTTCTGTTAATGGTTTTAAATTTTTTTCTTAAAAACCTGATTTATTTGAAAACTATTTTGATTCGTTGTCCATAACCGTAAACAAGTGAATTGCTCAGATTCTTCAGGAAAACAGATTGTTTATTCTTGGAATGTTTGACTATTTATAAGTGAGTACTTGGTGGGATGTGGGGTGCACGATATTCGAGAACTCAATTTCTCAAATTTACTTTAAAAACAAATATTAAATCAGTATTTTTTCTCTTGTTTAGTAAAAAATTAAATATCTTAATAAGTAATGACATGGATTATAGTGTTATCTTCGCATCCTTCTATTTTTAGTACGCTCCGAATGGTTACTACTATATATGAAACGTAATGGACGGGACGTACACCATAAATTATGCTAACGATGATTACTGTATTTTTTTTTTTTGGGCAAACGATGATTACTGTATTATAATGACTATACTAGGTGGATATTCTGTTTGCTATTTAGTAAAGGAAAATATATAAAAATCTACAATTTTATTGATTCATCACACAAAAGCCAACCCAAGAGCTAGAAATGAGATTATCCACATCTATACATATTTTCCCATCTTGGGGCTATTTAGAGCATGTTCAACGCGGCTGCTTAATGGGCTGCTTAGCTCTTTTTGTAATTAAAAAAAATGAAAAAGCCTTAATTATTGAAGCACCAACGCTTAATTAAACATCTGGGGCACCGCTGCTTGTGGACACGTGTTGCTCTCTCTTCACGCGGTGCCTTCTCTCTCTTTCACACACGAAACACAATTTGTGTTTCTTTCTTGAATCCTCCGTCTATCTCTTTTCTCTCTGAATACGAAAGCGATCTCGTGGACTCCATCTCGTCGCCTCCGTGATCAATCGGCGATGATCTGTGGTCGTCTCTCTCGATCTCCTAGACGCCTCCGTGGTCATTCGATGATGAAAGCGGCTCCGGCTATCTGGATCTCCTCGACATGCATGAAGATCTCTCATCGTCTCTCTCTCTCTCCGGGCCGATGAAAGCGTCTTCGGCTCTCTGAATCTCCTCGACGGCTTCTCGACAAGATCGAGGAAGTTCTCTCATCGTTTCTCTCTCTCTCCTCGACGGCTTCTCCGGAGTCCGACATGCATGAAGATCTCTCATCGTCTCTCTCTCTCTCCGGCAAGATCGAGGAAGATCTCTCCTCGTCTCTCTCTCTCTGTGGGACGATGAAAGGCATGAATCTCTCGGCGTCTCCTCTCCTGTACGAAAATGAAACAGAAAGGTAATCCAATCCTATGTATGTTTATATTTGTTTCTTGTAGTAATGATATGTTTGTGTCTTTGTTTTTTTTCAGATAGACGGAGCAAGAGAAGATGGTTCCTCAAACAAGATGTATGCCAAAACAGGTAAACTTCGAGACATTTGATTGAATGATTTGTTGTGTTCTTGTCGTAATTGTTTAAGAGTTTACAATATGTTAGAATGGAGGGTTGGTCTGAATAAATCAAAGTCTGTGTTCTGTCTGAATGGAGTTTCTTGAATATATTCGAGTAGTCTTGTATGACATTGTTGTT